ACACACTTATCCCGTTTTCCACGCATCCAAGTTACTCCCCTGTACGACCACTGATGAGTTCCCATCACGAAGGTCAATGATTCCGCATGATATGGATGGTAGATATGACATTGACAAAATCATAGCTGAAGATGTCTACCGATCAGGATGAAGGGGACGACCCCAGCGACAATATAAAGTCAGATTTGCGTACCAAGAGCCCAAAGAAGATCTCTGGTTCACAAGGGATGAGCTTCTAGAAACTGCACCAGATATCGTTTCCTATTATGAGACAGCGAGGAAATGAATCAATGTCGCAGAGAGGTGAAGTATGTATTTTTCCCAGAGGACCTCGAAATTAGGCCGGCGGGAATGAAAGGATTTCACCCTGCAGACCCCTGAAAGCCGGCACCAAATCCACAAAGTCCAAAAGGTTCCAAAGTCCCAAGTCCCAGCGTCAAGAGGGGTAGGTCCGATAGGCCAGTTGAAGCGTTGTAGGCCTAAGTCAGAAAACATCCGAAAGTCAAGTCATGGTACATCCTGTACGGTACCCAACAGAAAAAGTCTGGAAGCCAGTCCGGTACCCCACAGAAGGGTCCGGAAAGTCAAAGTCCAGTCCCCAAGTCCACAAAAATTGCAGCAAGTCCCAGGAAAGTCCAGGAAGCTTCCAGACCGACAAAATGATTGCAACAGACAAGCCGCTGCTGACCGGTACCGATCTGAGGCAGGCCAACCCAAGTCCAAATCCTATATTTAGCTGCTACAATTCAGCAGCGGACACAGTTGTTCATTCGTGAAGTTGCGGAAGCGCTGCTAATGCTTGTGTGACACAGTGACTTGGGCAAGACAACGCGCGATGAAAAAGAGAGCGCCGACGACAGCCATAGCTAGGATGGTGATAGGGAAGCAGGGCGCCCATAGCCGCCACGGTTGGAGTCTGATCTGAGCAGGTGCATTCAGGGCACGGTCCAAGGGAGAGAGAGAGACTGTGAGGTTGAGTGAAACAAGACCCCAGAGAGAGAGAGAAAGAGGTTTGAGTCTGAGACTGTGTGAGCAGCAGAAACCGCGGAAGACATGAACTCTTTCTATGTATAATGACGATATTTTGCGTATCAATCTTTCATGTGATTCTTGTTGAGGGTGATGGACTTGCGACTCATTGCAGAGCATATGAGTATCCTGGAAGATTGAATTGAGTCGGTGTTTTAAGAGCAATAAGATTCTCCTTAAACCACTAGTACCTCCGCCAGTGTTGGGAAATTAGGGAAAACTGGCAGTTTTCCCAAAGTCCCCAAAGAGTTCGGAGGTACCAGAAAATCACATTGAAAGCCAGAAAGTCCAGCGCTGTCCAGAAAGCAGAAATGCACTGATATTCCACCAATGGAGAACCAAAGCTCCGAATCCGGATGTCAATGAGAGCATACTCTTGCCACCACCAACATATGTATCCAGAGCCCTTTCTCCTACTTGGCGCTCAGCGCCCAGACTACGATCACACAGCTACTAGCAGCCTACGAATTGACAATGCATCCTGTTGACGTCAGCAGCAACAATCGAAGTACATGAAGATGTCGACCCTGTAGACCATCGCCAAGACCAGGTACGTGCCCTCACATCCTCATCCTCATCTCTCTCTCTCTCTCTCTCTCTCTCTCTCTCTCTCTCCTGTCTCTTATACACATCTAGATGTGTATAAGAGACAGTCCTTT